ATGCAAAAGAAATTAAAGTCAATATATGTATTTTTAGAGATATTCAGAATATAAAATTTACTAATGTGTTGTTCAGTTGTCTAAAAATTATTATATTCTCACTTTTATATTATACGTTAATTATAAGTATCAAATGTAAGATGATGAATAATAACTAAATAAAAAAATGATCAATTACAGAGGCCGACAAAGAAAAAAAGCTAAAATACAGACTATACGTACCCGAAGGTTTTTGATGTATTGAATTCGAATCCAGCCTCAGAATTGATCCATCACTCTAGGTTTCCAAGATATCCTAACCTAAAAGTACTAAAAACCCAGTTCTTAGCTATATTCGAGATTATATAATATTAGGAATAAATATTTTTTCCTCAAACCAGTCAAATCTTTATAAACAAGCACCCTTACCCTCAAAATCCATCTTACAAATTTGGAATATCTTTTTTTTCATCGTGATATCGTTGATTGAAGTTGAGTAATTTAAGAGTGTCTTAACATTATACAATTCATCATTTTATCTAAGGCGGTGAACCAGACTTTGCATATTAACATTGTAAAGGTATGTAAGGGTTTTTGTGTCGCTGATCACGAATCCAAGGTCGGTTGATCTTTATAATATCAGCTTCAAGATCATTTGTAAATCAAATCGCCGTGAATCAAGAAAAAAAACTGAAACAATTAGATGTATATTTTTTGCATGTCTCAATCCAATTACAGGGTGGTCCATTTTAATCAAAGGGGTCAAATATTTGGTTCCAATAGCATGATAACAAAAAATAGTTCAGCTAAAACTTTTTAAAAGCTTTTAGCTTGCAATATTGAAAAAATCTTTCAATACTTTGACGAAACTTCATTAAGCCAAGTTTAATATGTAAAGGCGATAGCAGGATATCATCAAGATTCATAAGACTGTTCAAAGCAACGTTATTTGAACCAACATTCACGTCATTTCTGTTGGATCAATCCCTTTTTACCTAATATTGATATCTCGGTCACGACTATTCTATTAACAGAGAAAATAAGGATTCTTTGTATTACCGGATTGTAGACCTACTAAAATATTAATCATTTTAAAATCACCACAAATCAACCATTTGTTTTCGTTATATTTAATTTTCATATGAGTCATAGGACTCTTTTCATTTCAGTCAAGTGACCAATAAGGACAGTGACATATTTGCTTCCGTTGTGAAAAAGTACTGCCTTGAGACTATCTACTCAGAAATCAACGACGAGTCGCCAGTTTTCTGGCTTATAATCTTCTTGTACTCCATACAAATTTAAGACTTCCAATATTATTACAATAAACAAGTTCATTTTCTTTTGAGATTGAGTCACGAAATTGCTCATTTTTATTTTTGTAAATTGAGACTTTTATATTAGGTTCTAAAAGATTTCTCTGGTTCAGTCTTAAACCGAGTAATTCTGCTAAATCCTTAGGCAGACTCAAATCACGAATAAAATTATCCAAGGAATTTTTATTCTAAAGATGAGATTTATCTTTATCAAAAGAGCTTTGATAATTAAATTCAGTATCATCAGGTTCTTTTCCCGATTTTATTGAATCAAGTTGTTGTGATTAAAAAACAGAATTTTAATGTTTTTCAATTTATCCACATTGTGCGGATGTTACACTACTTAGATTGGTATAAATAATTACCGATTTATTGATATAATTAAGCCCATCAACGTTATCTCTACGAGGGGGGGGGGGGGGTCATTAAGTCTACAAAAAGAAGGAAAAAAAAGTTTTGCGTATGTTATTTTTTTTTATTTTTAAACATAATCTCCTTGAAGGTCGATACATTTGATTAAATGGACTTCCAGTTTTTTTAAGCCATCAGAAAAATGTGATTCCTGATAACCCTCAAAATAGGCATTTGTTTCGGCGATGACTTCTTCATTCGACGTGAATCGTTGTCCGGTAAGCCATTTTTTGAGGTTAGAAAATAAGAAAAAGTCACTGGAAGCCAAATCAGGCAAATATGGTAGATGGTCAATTAATTCGAACTTTAAATCGTTAATTTTTGCCATCGAAACTGCACACGTGTGAACTCGAGCATTGTCTTGAACAAAAAGGCATTTTTTTTTCTTCAAGTGAGGACATTTTTCTCTGATTTTTTCTTTCACCTAACCTAATAATGACGCATAATATTGTGCAGTGATCGTCTGGCCCTTTTCCAAGTAGTCGATGTAGATGATTCCATACGCATCCCAGAAAACAGTGGCCATAATCTTGCCAGCTGACTTTACTGTCTTTGCCTTCTTTGGGGCTGGTTCTCCTGCGGTAATCCATTGTTTGGACTGTTTTTTGATTTCAGGAGTGTAGTGGTGTACCCATGTTTCGTTGACAATTACGAGTCGACGCCAAAAGTCTTCAGGATTACGACGTATGAGTGCCAAAAGAGTCTCAGAGGTGACCACTCGGGTTCGTTTGTTTTCAACAGTTTACGCTCACAAAAAAACGACTTAATGAACTTTGTACGATATCTAATTAGTAGTATTGCTTGCTATAAACATCATAATTTAAGCGTGACGAGCGCCATTTTTTGGATTTTGTAAAGACTTATTGACCCCCCACGTACAAAAATAGCAATCGTTTTAGTGATCTCTAGGATTGCACCAAGCTGTTGGTAGAGAGAAAATATCTTTTATAATGTAATTCCAGTTCAGCAAAATCCAGTAACAATCCTTACAAATGGAGTTTGGCATCCATGGTTTATCGAGGTTATTCATAGGCATTTGATAACATTCTTGAAATTGTTTTGGAATGATGTTAAAGATCTTTATACGAAATCAAGACACCTCAAACTTTCCGCAAACATGACAAAACTTATTCACTATATCTATATATATAGATATACATGAAATCCTTGACATTTTTACTTTTATTTTATCCGTTACGCTGCCGCTCAAATACGATCTCTAATACGGATGATATTTACGAAGAAAGTGCTGTTTTCTGGAACACGGAAAACAATAGTTTCAAAAAATTCAAAGTCAGTCATTATTTTCTTGAGTTAACCGATTATTAACTCGCATACCTCCCGATTAACATCACTTTTATACCCCTCGATTAACCCATTCAGTCACGCTCTTAACACGATTGTCCAATCTTAAATTTTATATAATAACTTGAGGTTTTTAGGGTCGCTGATTACGAATATGTAGACAGATTTTTCAAATTCAAAATGGTAGATCCAATATGTCGGACCAAAAACTTCATAATTGTTTGGATTCGATTGAAAAAATGATTACACTGGTCTTTGGGATCACTGATTACAAATAGAAAGTAAAATTTTGCATATTCAATATTGCTGATTGAATATGGTACACTGAATTCAAGTATTTTAGTTCAAAAAATCTATACATATAATTTTTTTCTAATCATTTTCTTGATTCATAGCTATTTAACATTCAAATGACCTTGAAGTTGATACGACCGACCTTGGTTTCGTGATCAGCGACACAAAAACTTTTATATACCCTTACAATGTCATATGCAAAGTCTGATGCGTCGTCTTAGATAAAATGATGAATTGTATAATGTTAAGACACTCTTAAAGTACTTTACTTCAATCAACGATATTTCGATGAAAAAAAAAAGATATTCCAATTTGGCAAGATGGATTTTGAAGGGTAAAGTTTATGAAGATCTGACACGATTGTTGAAATTCTGTTCACCATCACAAAGATGCAAAAATCCTTAAATTTTTATTCAGTTAACTGGAAAAAAATGATAATGAGATACGTTTGTAAATATGTATAATTTATACAATGTTAAAAATTAACATACCGAAAATTAACTTTGAATGTTGTAACGGGGGGATAAATCTGCAAAATGAGAAATTTATTTAAGAGTAAACTCCCACGATGCAGAGCAAACCGCCGGTCCGTTAACACGTATGTTAATACGTGTATTCGCCTTAACGTCAGCTGACTTAACTTAGTTGTCTTCGATCAAGCAGAGTTGATGTCACCTTAAGTCACGTGCCTTGTGATACTCGATGAGTTTTAAGTGTAATCGACTTTGCTCCTAATCCACTTAATCCCCTAGCTATAATCGGATTAAAACCTAAGCCTTTTTCAATTGTTTAAACTATTAGGAAAAATTATATGACGCAATCGGCGAATAAGTTTAATAGATTTTATTAATAAAAATCTCTGTCGGGCCGAAAGACTGACGCACGCGAATAGGATTTACAATTAAATAACTTTCGGTGAGAAAGAGAGAGAGAGAGAGAAGATACGAATATTGGCGCGATCTAACGCTCGACGCGAATACAAAAAATTAACGCTAACACCGTTGGACAAAATATCAAATGTATTTTGTCACGCGATAATTAAGGGAGGTGCACCTACCCTGCGGTGCAATTACGGTGATCAGCCGTAATTGTTGAAGCAAATTAAAGGTGCTCCTCCGATCAGAATCAGCTGTGCTGCCTCGATCGCAAATCTGCTGTATAATAGCTGTTGCTTTTGCTGCTGCTTCCGTGATGCTGCTACTGTCGCTGCTTCCTCGCTCACCCTTGCACACGTATCCAAAATCCAAGTAAACTATTTATTGGCAAATCGGTGAAACACTGTGCTAAACTATTTTGGCGGTACTACACAAGTAACAGCTGAGACGTAACTGCTAATTCAAAAGATCGCGCGCCCCCTCTCTCTCTCAATACTTAAAACTAACGCGCGAAAATCAGAATCGCGAACGGTTCGATTAATTGAATCGACTACCGTTGCAATGTATTAATATATAATATATTATCGTGAGTATCTTTAAAATTTATTCGAAACTCTGTACATTTTATAATTGTTTAGAAAATAATCTTTGTTGCAAATTTATGATAACTAATAAACAAAAACATGGTGGTTATTTTTATAAATTCTGTTAATGGTACGACACTACGAGATAGTCAATATTTTTTTTATATATGTTTTCTATTAAAAATAATAATGATTGTTGTAATGCAGATGTATTGTATATTTTTAATATTTTACAGCTGCAGTGAAGTTACTTTTGGATATGGGGAGTGATATCAATGCGCAAATTGAAACAAATAGAAACACAGCTTTAACACTTGCATGTTTTCAAGGTAGACATGAAGTTGTGAGTCTACTTCTGGACCGAAAAGCTAACGTCGAACATCGAGCCAAGGTAAATTAAAAAGTAATCAATGTGAAAAATAACGAAATGGAATATATAAACAAATACTTTAATACAAATGTATAACGAGTAATATTGCTAACTCGTTATGTCTCTCTCTTTCTTTTAGTTAATGATTACATATGCCGACAATTTTCAGACCCAAAGACTAGACATACTGTACCCGAAGGAATTTGATGCGCTGAATCCAAATCTGTTCTCAAAATTGCTCCATCACTCTAGGTTTCCGAGATATCCTAACCTAAAAGTGCAAAAAACACTGTTTTTTGCGGTTTTTGAGGTTACATAGCATCTTGAATAAATTTTTTTTCCAAAAACGGCCGACAGCATCATAAAGGAGCACTCTTGCCCTCTGAAATCCATTTTTAAAATTTAAGATAGCTTTTTATCTCATCGAGATATCATTGATTGAAGTTAAGTATTTTCGTAGTTTCGTAACAACGTTAAAACAGCCTATATTGCATATGTGAGCCTATAAGCCCAATTTAAAAGTAATCGTTTTCGATTGAAAAGATCTATATATGGGTTTTGTTTTTAATGAAAAGATCTATATATGGGTTTTGTTTTCAATTGAAAGCGATTACTTTTAAATTGGGCTTATAGGCTCACATATGCAATATAGGCTGTTTTAACGTTATTACGAAACTACGAAAATACTTCACTTCAAATAATGATATCCCGATGAGATAAAAAGCTATCTCAAATTTTAAAAATGGATTTCAGAGGGCAAGAGTGCTCCTTTTTGATGCTGTCGCCCGTTTTTGGAAAAAAAATTTATTCAAGATGCTATGTATTCTCAAAAACCGCAAAAAACAGTGTTTTTTTATTTTTTGGTTAGGATATCTCGGGAACCTAGGGTGATGGAGCAATTCTGAGGCCAGATTCAGATTCAGTGCATCAAATTCCTTTGGGTACAATATGTCTGGTCTTTGGGTCTGGACTTTCATGAAATTTTGTCGGCCTGTGTTATTATTAATTAATAAATATAATTATGATATCTTATTATTTTGTATGATACCAAATTTATACATTTATGTTCCGGTTCAAAGTAAGTGAGAGGAAGAGATAAATGCGTGCACTTAGCGATAAACTCTATGTGTGAGAGCGAGGCATAGAAAAATAGAGAGATCTCGCACGATGATTGGCTGTCACGAACGCAACTCAAAAAGGCTCACGAAGCTCGGGGATTTTCACTCTGTTCATCAAGGCGACACTGCATATACTCTTATAGGACGAAATCTTTGCCGGTTTCTTCGACAACTGAGCCTCTTTTTGCGTGACCTTGTCTTTTTACGTAATTAATTTACGTACGTTATAAATATATAATTTTTATTAAAATATTTATCGCTGCTATTAATTTACTATCGGTAAATTAATTATTAATTATAATAAAGTTTTTTTCTTTTCTCTTCGTAATATATCTTTAAATTTGCACGTGTGACACGTCTTTACAATAGATTAAACGTAGACTACACGGCAGAAGATTTTATTAAATCTATTTTACGATATATTTCTAGTTCTATGTGATAATTTACTATGAATGAAATTACGTACTACTCCTAGTGTAAATATACATCTTACGCATGTACGAGTAGTTCTATCAATGAGGGGGTAGGATTGCAACCCCTATTTCTTTCAATAAAATTTCTATCTTTTTGTGCATATTACCATGAAAAAAAAATGTTAAAAATGAGCCAATAGAAATTGTAAAATATATTATTGTGGATTGAATACAAAAATTTAGTTGAGCTGTTTGAGGTTATCTTTCAAATCATTCTCAAAATAGAAAATCCACCACCAAAAAGTGTTTTTCGATATATTACACGTTCTAGTTGATAATTTACTGTGAATTACATTGTGCATTACTCCGAATCTAAATATAGAATTTACACATGTAATTCCGAGCTTAAGAGTTCCAACTTCTATTTTAAAAATTTTAAATTTTACCTTTTTCGTACTTATTTTTATGAAAAAAAAATCTAAATTATCCAAAAGAATTTATAAAGGTAAATATAATTTTTTCATTGCATGATGAAACTGCATCGCACTATTGCATATCAATGATAATATCATCATTCAGTTTTTATCTCCCGATAACCGGCTTTGACGACATCATATTGTTTTCAATTTTGCTGACAATAAGTAAGCCATTCTTTTTATTAGTAGCTAATGAAATGTTTTTGTTGTTGACTGTATTTCATCAACTTACTATTAAATAGATAGCATAGTTTATTCGGCATAGATATTAATAAAGAACTAATTCGTTACTAATATTTCTTATCTGCTACGTTAGTATTTTTTTGAGATTATTTTGTTTATGATTATTATTTATTATTTGTTTACAAGTACACCCACGAATGTTTAATTGTATTTATTGAAAAAAAACTAAAAATACATTGATGTGACGATTTATTAATTAAAAACAATTTATTAATACTAAATTAATATTTTATTCTATGTTTCCCAATTCATATTATAACGAGCTTGATGTCAACTCGTTATGTCTCTCTCTCTCTACGGTGATAGTATAAAGAATACCATATATTTATAATGTCATATCTTTTGAATTATGTTCCTCCTTAGCAGCAGCAGACAACGACTGCGGGGAACAAAGTAAGAGAAAATGCTGGCAGAGAGAGACCGCATGGGCGTTTCGCGTGAGGAAGGGCCAGCAATTAGCGGATAGCTCGCGAGCCGTGCAGAGGCGTTCGGTCGTGCCTATACTTATTTAGTGTTTTTCTTTGAGTATCACCTCGTGGTAAGGGAGTGATCCTTGACTGTGACTGGTTAGTGAGGTGCAACTTTGCGTGCGGCACCTTCTTTCTTTCGTGACAAACGACAATATAAATAGGCGAATTCAGCAATCTTGCCGAATCGTAATCGAGACGCATCGACTTATGTATAGTACCGACCGTTCCTTGAATCTCTCTCTCGCTTTGTTTATCTCGCCGCTCTCTCTGAAGCATCCTGTACACTGACACGTACATAAACTATATATATATATTTATATACTACTATAACTGTATGGCTTTTCTTTTAGACTACCTTTCCTTCCTATCGCTTCCCTCAACTTTCGCGATTTAAGCTGCGTGATCCACGACGCTCTCCGCGGGCCAGTTAGCTATTTGACCTACCGGGCTGATCTTACGTACCAGAACGTAATCCTGCAAAGAGCTGCAGTGGTGCCAGTCATTACTTGATCTCGATTAAATTAATATATTATAGCGGTCTAAATCCCCGTTACAATATTTAACTAAAACAAATGATTACAATCAATCGTATTGATTAAGTAATTGATTAAAGCAGTAACAAATTCGTAATATTTGATCTAATCAATAATTTTTCAAGAACAGTAATTTATGAAATTATCTTATTAGTTATTTACCATGTACAATTAAATTATATTCTTCATTATGTCTTTATAGTTCTAATGAAAATGATGTTTCTCTAAAACAAAATACTAGTTATTCATATGAAATAATCCTTTCTTGAGTTTGAAATATATTATTATTCTTACTAATTTTCATTGATATTAACATTATTTCATAATTTCATTTGTTTGATTACATATCAAGATAATTATTTATTGCAGTTAACCCTCCAACACCTGAAGTGTATATTGTTATGAAAATTTTGGCTATTGTAATGGAGTGGTTATCCTACAAAATGAGAAATTTATTGAAGCACAAACTCCCACGATGCAGAGCTAACCGCCGCTCCGTTAAACACGTATGGTTATACGTATATTCGCCTTTACGTTTGATACTTTCGTTTCAGTGTCTTCTTTTCAACCGAGTTGAACTCACCTTAAGTCACTTGACTTGTGACACTCGATCTATCTTCAGTATGAATGACTTAATGCCTAATCCGCCTAATCCTCTAGACGAAATCAGATTAAGACTTAAGCCTTTATAGATCTATTAAGCTAATAGGAAACGAAATGACGTAAATGGCGAATAAAATTAACAAAGTTTAATTAATAAAAACTACAGTTTTTTATAGGCCGAAAGACGCAACGCACGAGATATAGGATTTACAATTATTACTAATAATTTGGAGAGAGAGAGAGAGAGAGAGAGAGAGAGAGAGAGAGAGAGAGAGAGAATTCGAAAATTGCCGTGAAATCTAACGTTCAGCGCGAATACAAACAAAAATACGCTTCCGATTGACAAAATACTTCTGAAAGTATTTTGAAGCTCAATAATAAAGGGAGGTACACCTACCCTGCAGTGCAATTACGGTGATCAGCCGTAATTGTTGAAGCGAAATTTCAAGATGCTCCTCGGATCAGCTGCGCTGCCTCGCTTACAAATCTGATGCTGCTTGAAATGCTGCTGCTGCTGTAAATGCTGCTGTTGCTGCTTAGCTTCCTATCTGCACTCGCACGTATTAAACAAATCCCAGGAAACTTTATAACTTTATAACTAATAACGACGAAACACAGTGCAAAAACTAAACTGGCGGTATTCTCGCGAAAGCAGCTGAGGCTTAACTAAATATTCAAAACCTCGCGCGCCCTCTCTCTCTCTTAGTCATTCGATCTAACATCGCGAGTAAACGAATCGCAAATGGATCGATTAATGGAATCGACCACCGTTGCACTATACATTTTTTTCCTGAAACATCTTTTTTATTACTTTCGAGATCGCTTTTATGAATATACTGTGTTTGAAATTTCTGAAGGAGTACTAATAATAAGAAATATTTTAAGGCTATTTTTAAAGTCATACATTTTTTGATAAAATTTATTTAGTGGATGTATTTTTTTTATAACGAAATTATATATATTTATATATAAATTTATGTATATATATAATTAAATGAACATTAAAAATGAAAATTAACCCTCCAAACGTCTTGAATTTATTTATTAGCTTATTTCCAAACTCTACACATACCTAAAAGCCATACAAATCATAAAGAAATTAAATACACAGAAAGAATTAAAAGCATTTTACTAGATTTAATAAATGATTTTATTGAGGTTAATA